CGTGAATCTAAATCTTGAACGGCAGTTTGAACAGCCGTTTGAACAGCCGTTTGAACAGCCGTTTGGACAGCTGTTTGAACAACAGCTTGAAAACGAGAATCCAAATCTTGGACAGCAGTTTGAACGGCAGCTTGAATATGGTGAGACAATTCTTGATCAGCATTTAATGTTTGAGTGCTAACATTCGTGCTTTGTTTATTTTTGACTTTTTGCTTAGTAGCCTCATAAGCATTGTAATCTAATATGTATGATAGAGCTTCATTATGAGCTTTGATGTTGGTTAAATAATATATTATGTTTTTATTGTTCACTTTGCCCTTTATATAAATAGCGAATTCATCAAGATATTTTGCTTCAAGAGGGAAAGGTTGCACGTTGGGGTGCGTTGTTTTCATAAACTTGATGAAGCGCAAGACTCCACGCCTTTTTATCGTTTTATTCGAGTTTTTAGAAGAGGTCATTTCTCGAATATAAGTTGCATTTGATAATTTTGTTTATACTGATATCGATATCGATATTGAATATTTAGACGCCTTTTCAGTTTCTTGAAAAAAAAAATACGTAACTAAATAGAGACAACATTCCATTAAGGTATTTATGTTCTGCTTCGTTTATCAATTTACATTGATTATTAATCAAAGTGGATCATTTGTCAATTTGAAAATGACTTACTTTATTTCTCAATCGGTGAAAATTTACCAATAATAAATTTTTACATGCATAATGTTATGATTTTTTAATTGCAAATAAATTTAGGACGTATCTGATCGTAACGAAGACTCATTTTTCAAATTTCCTTATTTGGGTGATCTTCATAAATTAACCAATCAAATTAGGCGATCTACATAAACTAACCAATCAAATCGTAAAATTTTTACGAAGCAAAAAAAAAACAAATCTCAAAAATACAAGAATTGAGTGTCTAAACCTCTCTTGGGGAATTAATAAAAATATCGGGAGTGCAATGTTACCTATAAACCTTGCTTAACTAACCTCCGAACAACCCTAATTTTAATTGCTTCGGTTTAGCATCCTTCCAAATAAGAAAATTTGAAAAATGGGTCGGTAAAATTGATCAATTGTAACATGTTTATATGCTTATTCGTAACAACGTAGTACAGCCAATAAAAATTCGTGTAACCTAAACCTAATTCTAACTACTATTGGCTAATTACTGTAACATGTTACAAATACATTTATTCGTAAATTTAAAATATTTATCGATTTTTACATCCATACATTCATATTAAATGCTTATCGATTTTTACATTTATCGCGTAAACCGTATCCACAGCATCTCGTACATAATAAATTGCTTCTTTGACAAAAACAAGCTTTGATGCCGCAGTTTGTTTTTTTGGCAGTGACAATAATTCGCATGACTTTTTTGAATTGACTTCTTTGAAATAGTTTCTTTTAGAGTAGGAAAAAAAATTATTTTTTTTTTGTTCAAAACATTATCAAATCGATAATTAAGTTTTATTATACTGTAAAATTATTTTTATTCATATAACTAGAGATTGCACATGTGGGCGGCTTCGCCGCCCGTTGTATTTTTGTTAGATGTTAGATGTTTTAAACAGAAGTAATATGGTAAATTTGATGTAGATATGTAATTTAATTTTTATCATGAAAAATATTAATATGTGTTTAGCTTGTATTAATTGATATTTTTTATTATTAAATGATGATGTAAATAATAATATGATTAATAAAGTGATTATTATACCAATAGTAATTCGTATATAGAAGTTTAGTTAATTTATAGGTTTGGGTTGACAGTAAGTCATGAGTCAATGATTATATGGATTATTCGAATTTGGTAAGAAAATTTGGTATGTGTAATGAGAAAGTTTATTGTATCGTTAATCTGGGGTTGTGATGTGATCACTAATACTATCAAATTGGTCAGAGCGTGCAAAGCATATAAAATGGAGGATAGATTGTTGGTCTAATAGTAGTTTTTAAAGGTGAAGTAAATTGTATCCTCCCAGTAGAATTTTGCTATTTTTGTAGCATTTTAGTTTATAGTTGATTGAGTGTATAGGTGGGAAACTAACGACTAGGATTATGTATCGCTAATTTGATTCAAAACTTTTGGCTAATAGTCGTCCCGCTTTATGTAAGTGGGAAATTATCAGTTAATGCCATTATATGTCAGTTGCACTGACGTATGTTATATATGCAGTTGTTATAATCACATATTTATTGTGTCGATGCATGTTTTATATTTCAATTTTATATCGATCATGTTGATGTATGTTACGTATCTTTTTAAAGTGATTTAATGAAATTTAGTGCTCAGCACAATTTGTGCCCGAAGGCCTCCAATTCTTATGTATATATTAAACGTGCGCAGTTTTTTTCGAAATTTCGAGTAGATTTTTACATAATTTTGTATACGATTTATTTATGATCATAGCAGATATTTGTCTTTTTTGTTTGTTAGCATATAGGTATGTATATACATTTATGTAAAGCTATTACTTTAGATACTTAATGTGGTACTCGATTAGAGTCATGTGTGTGAAAATTCAATTTGGAGAGTCATTTTAGTCAGGCAGCAATTCTAGACAGGTTGCTATTTTAGATCCATGTTTTTTTGTTGTGCATAATTAGGAATGATATTATTTCATATAAATTAGTTAGGTTGTATTTCTAAATTAGTTTAGTGCTTTGGAATATTTGGATTTTCAAATTTTGGTTTAAAACTGATTATATAATGATCATGATTTGAACATGTTAGTTTCAAGTGTGTTGATTTGAGAATGTTTTATTTTGCATAATTAGATACATTTGTAGTAGATTTAAAAAGATAAGTATTGAATTTATTTGATTTAAATCTGTTAAAAAATTAATAATATAATTTAGTTTGTATATGCATAAGATTATTACATTGTATTTTATATATAGTAAGATAAGCAGGTGAATTAACTTTCTTTAACAATATGAGGTCATTTGACAAACAAATTTGTAAGTTAGATATTCAGATGAAAAAGTTATATTGTGCGGTAAGTTGTCGATAAAGAAAAGAAAAAAGTTAAATAATCATGAGTAATAACATTTTTAGAGATTTAATGTAATGTGATATTTTGATTATTTGATTGAAGATACATTTGTAGTAGATTTAAAAAGATAAGTATTGAATTTATTTGATTTAAATCTGGTAAAAAATTGATGTAATTTAGTTTGTATATGTATAAGATTATTATATCGTATTTTATATATAGTAAGATAAGCAGGTAAATTGACTTTCTTTAACGATATGAGGTTGTTTGACAAACAAATTTGTAAGTTAAATATTCAGATGAAAAAGTTACATTGTGTGGTAAGTTGTTAATAAAGGAAAGAAAAAAAGTTAAACAATCATGAGTAATAACATTTTTAGAGAATTTGAAATGAAGATTTTGTATTGATGACATTGTTCTTAATTGACTGAAGTTATTAATAAGGTTGTAGATATTCTTGTGAATATTTTTGGAAATAGAATTTACTTTGATTTTGCATCTGATGTGTAGAAAAATTTTTGGCAATTCTGAAGGATGATGTTTTCGTCTTCTTCAATGCCGTATGTTGTGTAGTCTTGATAAACAGATTTAATGTATTTGGCAAATTGGTATATTTGATAATATTTGCAAATATTAGAAACTCTAAACAGGATAGAATATATGACACAGATTAGTAGAAGTATTTGAGAGTGGTGGATTCAAATGGTATCGATAGGACTAGTGATTATAGTTTGGAGATTGTGGTCCTTGAAGTTTACAATAACTGGTGCATATTTCATTTTTTATAATGAAAAAACAATATAGTTGTGAAAATAAGTATTATTTGTATATTAATATACAGTTTTAATTGTAGTTTATTTTTTTATGTATAAATTTTGTCAAGAAAAAACTTGCAGATATTGTTTAATAATAAATTTCCAAGTTTTTTTGATAATATTCACATATTATGCTTTATATTATGTGATAGTTTTTTTACTTGAGACATGATAGATACTTTATATATAATTGATTATTTTACGTTATTTAAACAATTTTGTGTAAAATTATATATATTATCAGGTAGATATGCATAGTGATGTGCTTTTTATATGATAGCACAATTTTTTTTACGTATAGTACGTATAGTATATACAGTACATACAGTATATATAGTATAGAATTAGAAATAAATCTGCATTATTACTACGGCAAAATCTTTAATATCAGGAACAGAGTGATGAATATCACGAAGTGTATAGCTTATTCGAGAAAGAAATTATATGCGTATCCAAAATCTAATACCCGATTGGTTGGCGTAATCATAGTTGTCACATCTTGTATATTCTTACTACTATTAAAATCACGACTCATCTCTGTTAAAGACACGAATCTATATTGCTATACAATCATTCACTGTTAAAATCTCTGCTGAGTCATGAACTTACACTACAAAATCTGGAATCCACCCATTGCTAAAATCTTTAACTTATCATTAATTGAATCGTAAACACTCATTGACTTACTTATTTAAATTACTAATTTACTTACTGCTAAAATTAATCTATTAATATTAAAAGCACTAACTGATCTACTGTTGAAATAATAAACTCACTCACTACTCAAATCACTCACCCATTTTTAAAATCACTAATGCCTATTGTAAAAATTATTATTCTACCCACTATTAAAATTGTTAATCACCCATCATTGCAAATCACTAACTTACCCATTCATTTTTTAAATTATGACCTTACCCATCATTTAATAATAAAAAATATCAATTAATACAAGCTAAACACATAT